TTTGTGGGAGCCATGACAACGATGTCGTCGACATAAACGCCGATGTACACGGGCTGGCCGTGCATCGCTTTTGTGAAGACACATCGATCCTTCACGAGTTGCGTGTACCCTTGCGATCGCAAGTAAGTAACTAAGGTTTGATACCACAGGCGTGGGGCCTGCTTGAGGCCATACACGCTGCGAAGAACTCGAAGGACATCCCGGGGATGCTTCGCTTTGTCAAATCCTGGAGGGTGTCTGACGTAGACGTCACAGTCGATTTCCCCATTGAGAAAGGCTGTAATGACGTCCATGGCGTCGATCTCGTAGTCGAGAACCGCTCCAAGGGTAAGAAGCATACGTAGCAGGGCCATGTATGGGCCAAATAAAACGTGTGCATTGATCGCACAGAATACAGCACCAAGTTGAAATGGGATGATCACCAAGTACCATCAAGAAAAGTATGAAGCGACCTTGTCAGTGCAGTCAGTGCCGATTTGTCCACACTCAGGGCCATGTCGAGACATCCTGTCTGGAGTGCATTCGATGTCATGGCGTTCATCTCCCCGACTCCACCTCTCATACCTCCACCCCATGGAGCAGTTGCCGTCCTTCTCGACCACTGTGCCCCTTTTATTTATTTTTTATTTTTACTGTCGCTCTCTACATGTCCACCTGGCGTACTCGAAGTAGTTTCTGCACTACATCTGTATGATGATACCTCAACCAGGCGACAAACATACTCGAGTTCCATTGCTGGTCGCTGTTTCTCGATCCCGAACCATGTCCTCCTGGACATGTCATTACCCCGGGCCCTCCCTTGCCCATCGCACCCACTCTCCCTCTGCTGCCTTCGTCATTCCCTTCCCCGTCTCCGACATCGTCCGGGACACTCCAGCACTTTTGCCATCACGGTCCGGGACTGGACTCTCCGTTTTCCGTATGACCCTGTGTGCCAATGTTTGGACGAAGTTTATTTTTGCTCTCACTTCATGAGGGCATACATGGAATCGCGACATTCATGGAATGCATATACCCCATTGTCGTCATCCCAATAATGTGGGACTTTTTATTGTCTCGAGCATGTAGTTGTGAAAACCAGCAAGAGCGTATGGCTGGTTGGCGAACTCATTGTGAGAAATCAGCCGCAAGGCTTTGCAGAATGCCTTAAAAGCAGGCTCTGGATGAGCTTTCGTGAAGAAATCAGCATATTGTTCCTTTTTTGGACAGTGTTGAAGTTTGAAGTGCTGGGCTTCGACGAGATCCCGCACAAACATATAG